TGCGATCCAGAGGTCGCAAATGCGACTTCTGCGTTTGGTGCAATGGCTTTTTATTCCGAGACTTAGCCCATTTTCCTTATTCCCCACTTGGTCTTAGGCGATTTTTTAGAGCATTTGAGAAGGGGTTCCACCATCATCAAGAGGTAAGTGATTTCTTCTAGTTATGGGTTAAATACAAGGATTATATATGGATTTAAACACGTAAAATTGTAGAAATTTAGGCATTTTGAAGAAAAACCTAGAAATTGGTATTTTTGGATTTTGACCACGATCTTAGGCATGGAATTGAGAATAAATTATATATTTGAGTTTGTGAGGTCATGGGTAAACTTTATCTTCAAAAAATTTCGGAATCCGGGCACGTGGGCCCGAGGGGAATTTAGTCAAATTTTTTATCGGGGTTACGAATTGTTATAAATTGGATTATTACGAGTAATTGAACATGTATTAATGGGTTTACATAATTATTGGCTAGTTTGGAACGTCGTGCATCAATTTGAGTCTTCGGAAGGGCGCGGAATGCCGGTTATGGAACTTTGGAGCGATGTGAGTCTCTTTTCTAACCTTGTAAGAGGGAATTGTCCCCATAGGTGAAATAATTAATATGTGCCTCTATTTGTGGGGCTACGTACGCACGAGGTGACGAGAGTCCGTACGTAGCTACTGGCTATGCCGATGTCCGGGTAGTTTTAGGTTTACACTATGCCTTGTTGATATTGTTGTTGACTCTTGTTTATTGTTTGACTTAAGAAGAAGCGATATTGAATTTGCTTAGTGAATCTCTTGAAAAGAGTTGAAATTGAGGAATTCAAGATCTTTATTTGAATTTCATATTTTGGAAAAGAATTGAAGGAATGTTATAATAGCTTAAGAAATCTATGTGTAACTGCATCGCATGTATGTTTCGCGAGTGGGGTAATTTCCATAAAAAGCTACAAGCTGAATTTCCCTTATTTTGAAAAGAATCAAGAAAGAGATATGATTTTAATGTTAAACTTATATTTTACCGTGTCGCAAGTATGATCCGCGAGCGGGGTGATTCCTTAAATATATATTTTATCGTGTCGTAAGTATGATCCGCGAGCAGGGTGATCCCTTAAATTTATATTTTACCACGTCGCACGTATGATTCGTGAGTGGGGTATTTCCTTCTACTAATCTTATGGGATCGGGCCGTTCGCTTCGGTAGGATTTATGTATCACACTCTCATGGGAGCGGGCCGTTCGCCTCGACGGGTTAATAGATGGATCTATGGTTCGCGCCATTCACACACACATACACACACACACACACACACACATATATATATATATATATATATATATATATATATATATATATANCACATGTACCTCTAGTGGCCTAATGGACGTAGCAGCATGGATGATATAGAGACTTGGGTGAGCTGCATCTCTCGAGACGACCCGCAGCCAGCAAAGTCTCTTTCAGTGTATTGTATTTACTTTCTGTCCAAGTTTGTATTCCGGACAACTATTGTATTTTATTAGATTTCCTAGTAATTGCTCATGCACTTGTGACACCGGGTTCTGGGTGATTTCGGGATTCTTCAGTAATTTTGTAAAGACATCATTTTTTATTGAGTGAAGTTTATTATTCATTGTTTAAAGTTTAGCAGAAATGATTTTGAAAATATTAAAAAGAGAATTTACTAGTTAAGTGGTGTTGGCTTGGCTGATAGTGGTGTCCGGCGCCATCACGACCCTTAGTGGATTTTGGGTCGTGACAGCCATATATGCAAATCTAACATAGTTGGACTGGCATGTCAACTTCAATGGCAAGACTAATGGTTTAAGGGGCATTTGTGGTCTAAAACATAGACGGCAGGTATATTTTTGGTGCCAAAAATAAAGGGTAGATATTTTTAAGCTATTTCAAATAGTTCAAGGACAATTTTGGCCATTTTCCGTTAAAAAAAGGGCGCTAACAATTAGAGGTGGGCATTCGGGCAGTTCGGATTAAATATAGAATTTCGGTTTGGATTTTCGATTTTCGGATTGAAGAAATGACAATCCAAATCCAATCCAAATAAGCTCGGATTGGATCGGATTTTTTAAGTTCGGTTTCGGATTAATCGGGTTGGATATTTTGGATTTTCGATTTTGAGCTTATAAGTTGACATGTTTCTTCTTTTTACAAAAATGAATATCCAAATGAAGTACTCATATTAAATTGCCTGAAAAGTTACTCATTCTCACCGCAATCATCCAAATAAAGTATTCAAGTAATGAAATTACTATCAAGAAAATGCAACAGAGACATTAATACGGCTGATAAGAAGCAGTAATAGTAAAACCATGTCCAAATATAAAGTATTCTGACAGTATCTTAGTAATTAATATTGCATATATGAAATAATATCTAATGGATAGGGTATTTAACTTATTATTATTGACATATAGATAATGTACGAAATATAAAGTATAAAATTTTTGGATTTTCGGATATCCAAAAATCCCAAGTACCAAATCCAACATCCAATCCGAAATCTAAAAAATTTAAAAATTAAATCCAAAATCCAATCCGTAATCCGAAAATCCAAACCAATAATCTAAAAAATTCGGATTTCGGTTTGGATTTCGGGTTTGGCCAAACTATGTCCACCACTACCAACAATCAGAACATATTCATTTATCTTCGTCTTTCCCTCTCTATTTTTTTCTTTTCTTACAAAACTCTTCTTTCTCACGCTCTTTCCTCCATTTTGGGGATTTAGGGTTCACACAGGATAACTTTCTCTCTCCTGATAAATGGCAAGTTCTCTCACTCCTTCTAATCTACCATTGTCTTTTGTACTAGTACGAACATATATGAGTACTTCACTAGAATTTTCGTTGTTTTAAAGTAATTTATCGGTGCAATTTTGCGAGATTCACCTTGGTAAAGTACTTTGTAGCTCTCTGCTCTCTCTCCTTCCTAATCCGTTGAAAGATCAAATTTTGTTTTGGATTATGTTTTCCTGATCTCTGGATTTCAGTAGTTTTTGCATGTTGTTTTGATTTGGGTTTTCTCTGCTCAACGTTGGTTATAGAAGAAGAAGGTTTTTTGCCCACTTCAAAACTTTAGTAATTATAAATAGTACTGGGTGGTTATCTTCTTGTTTCTGGTGGATGAACTTTTCTTAATTGTTTTTAATATAGAATTCAGAGTTTAATTAAGATAAATGGGAACTCAAAAAGTGAATAGTTTGGTGTGTCCATGAGTAGATTTAATTCATGTGCAGAGGCGAATCCAAGATTTTGAGCTTATGGGTTCCTATAATAATTTCAAGTTAATATACAATAATAACTAGGTTCATGGCCCTCAGAAATTATTTGCACCTCGTGGGTTTCGAACTTGAGACCTTGAAAGGGAGCAAACCCCAAGGCTCAAGTCTATTGCCACCAGGCTAACCCCCGAGGGTTAATATTTAATGAATTTCTTAATATAGATATTGGGTCTGAGAAAAAGCTACTTGGTTCACGTGAAACCGTAAGTTCCCCTTAGATCCGCCCCTATTCATGTGTACGAGCCTATTTGGCTTAGCTGATTTAGAGTAGCTGATAAGCATTAGGTGCTGATAAGCACTTCTAAGTGCTGATACTGATTTAAAAAATAAGCAGTTACGTGTTTGGATAAAAGTGCTGAAATTAATAATATGCAACTGAAGAACTGGGTATACGAAGAGTTTTGTTTTAAAAAGAAGTATTTTAGGTATAGAATAGTAAATATTTTGGTCAAAACTTAAAGTGCTTATAAGCTGAAATTTGATAAGTTGGGGGACTTATTTTTGGCTTATAAGCACTTAACTTATAAGCACTTTTAATTTTACCAAACGCGTAATAAGCCAAAAAGTGCTTGTAAGCCAGTTTGACCGGCTTATAAGCTTAGCCAAACACCCTCTACATGTATTTTTCTATTAGCAGTTTTGGTTGCTCAGGAAAATGATAAGATTCTTTCGTTTCTTTGGGCCACAGGCCATCCACATTTGATTTTTCAATAGAAGAAAGGTAGTAACCCTAGATCCTTGCCCCGAGAAATAAATTAAACCAATTTGAAAGATGATCTAATGTAGTTGAAAGAACCTACAGGAAGGGCTGATTTGCGGATAATAATTATAGCAAAACAATTTGAAAAAAGAATGAGAAGAATCCGAAATCTACTAAAATGCCTAACATTCTGGTCCACAAATAATAAATATGTCAACGTAGTTTTGTGGTTTCTAGATCTCATAGATGCAATGAGAAAAGAAAAACCTGAAAGAGGTATTATTGCTAAAAATTTAAATTTTGACATATTTGCTAATTTTTTGCCGCTCACATGTAACATAATGTGGATATACCATTAAAAGATGTATAAACAAGTTACTTTACAGCTTGTTTGGAACCCAAAATAATGTTTGTTTTGATTGTTTATTTAAAATTGATTGTATCGTATTGCTAAATCCATTCTTCCGGAACAACCAAAAGCCCCATTTTATGAAACAACCGATTTGGTGTGGTGGGATTGTTTCCTATTTTCTTTTCCATTTATGCCTTTACTTATTACTCCATAATTCTATTTATCCTTAACATCTTTTTTATTTCAACTCCAAATTTCCAACCTATTGACCTACTTTGTCTTCTTCCATCTTTTCTAGAGTTGGTTCGCCCCGTTCTTTTTATCCAAGTCTCTATTTGATTCTTTGTCTCTTTCCATCGTTTTAATTTTTTTTTGTTGCTAATTATTAGTTAACCTTCTTTCAGGTTTTTGCTATTGTTTCTAAGCTACGCAATTAATGATAAATTAGTAGAAAGAGGTTTTCTTAAATTGTTTTTATGTGTAATTTTTGATAAATTTTATTTAAAACAATTACGGGCATTTTAGTAAACTTATCAGTTACAATACAGTACGATACAGAACAAGCAACAAAAATGTTATTTAACAACAACAAACAATACAATTTATTGTTGAAATTTGCATTTTTTTTTCTCTAACAGAGTTCTTATGTCTATATCTATTGTTAAGAGAGACCAAAAGGAGTAGCAATTAAACAAAGATCATCCTTTCTTCCGCTAGCTACCCCAATTGTTTCGGTCATATCTAAATTGTGTGGAGCAATTCCATGAGGAGTCTTCCAGTCGAAGTGATAAAGCAGTTGAGCTAAAGGATGTCCTACATTAACTAAACCAAATAACAGTCCTGGACACATTCTTCTTCCTGCGCCAAATGGAGTAAATTCAAAGTGGTTTCCTCTGAAATCAATAGAATTATTCTCAAATCTCTCAGGTATAAAACTCTCTGGATTATGCCAATATTTAGACTCTCTTCCAATTGCCCATACATTCACCATAACTCTAGTTTTGATAGGTATTATATATTTGTCAATTTTTGTTTCTTCTCTGCATTCCCTGGGGATTAATAGAGGAACAGGAGGGTGCAACCTTAATGTTTCTTTAATCACTAGGTTTAGATACTTCAACTCTTCTAGATCAATATCCTCAAATGTTCTCTTTCCTTTTAGGACTTTTCTAACTTCAAGTTGTGCTTTAGCCATAACACTTGGATTTCTTATCATTTCAGCCATAGCCCAAATAATTGTTGTAGCTGAGGTTTCAGCTCCTGCTAAGAACATGTCCTGCATGTAAAGAAAACTATTAAGATATATACAATTTCTAACGTTTCAATATTGTACTCTAACATAAATGTTAACTTCAATGTTTAAATACTATAAATAATAAAATGAAAAAAGAAACAAAATGAAATATCTCATATGGCATTAGACTTACAAAAATAACACCTTTGATATTCTTATTTGTGATTGGAGTTCCCAATTCGCCACTCTCCATGACTCGAAATAGAACATCGATCAAATCTTCACCTCCAGTCTCACCATTGCCCTTCTTACCGTTAGCTCGACTTTCCTGATGCTCATTAAGGATATTCTCCAAAATTGCATCTACCTTTTTGTGAACCTTCAACATTTTGGACTTCAATCCAGTAATCTTGTGAAGCCACTTTCGGGAAGGGAACATATCAGCCAAGTCAAATCTTGCAGCTAATGATGATATGTCCTTCACCAACATTATCAACTTATCTTGATCATGAATCACTTTTCCGAAAGCTGACCTACAAGTTACAGAACTTGTAAACCAAAACATTTTGTCTGATAAGTTGATCAATGAGTCATCAGGCATGGAGTTAACGGATGAAATGAGACTTGACATCTCTGCTTGTCGAATTGAATTAAATGACTTGACCATCTTTGCGCTAAGAAGTTCCACGATGCACAATTTGCGCATATTTCTCCAGTGATCACCATATGGACAAGTTATAATGTCTGTGTAGTTGTAGAAAATAATATCTCCGGCCATATTTTCAGGCCTAGTAGCAAAGCGAAGGTCTTGAGTTTTCATAATTTCTTTTGCCATCTCAGGTGAAGATACAACAATGATCGATATTTCTCCAAGACGTAAGTGAAAGATTGGCCCATATCTTCGCGATAGACTTCTGAGAGTATGATGTACTGGAAGGGGGCCATTCATTAATAGGTGCAAGTTCCCAATCAAAGGTAGACTCCATGGCCCTGGAGGCAATATTTTGTTAAAGGTTTTTGATGCCTTCCATATCTGAACTAAACGAAAGATGAAGGATACGAATATCAAGACTGAAATGAAGATGAAAGATAAGTGTTTTGCCTCCATTTCAGATAGGAAAGGATCATATATTATATTATGGAGATACATGCTTCATGTTTATATAACTAGGGAATGTTTGATGAGGAAAGCTAGTATACCTTTTCTCTTTCTTTTTTTTTTTTGGGAAACCTCCAATATTATGTTGAACTGATAAGAAAATAGGCACTCATTAATTTCCACAGAACCTGGTCAATCTTATGCTAGGGGTTCTATTGGTGACAAAATTGATGTAAGCGAGCCACGTGAAAGGTGGCAAGAGAGGGACTGACTGTTATGATTTATAGACATTGTCAACTGTCAAGATTGGTTTGCCAGGAATTTTATGCCATCATAGTCATCAACTTTGTTACTTAGTAGTACTAAGTTTTGTTTTTAATTGGTCTTGTTCTATTTTTAGCAGGTTGGAGGGGCTGTAGATTGATATTCAATAGTACTATGTTTTGATTTTAGTTGGTCTTGTTCCCTTTTGAGCAGGTTGGAGGGGCTGTAGATTGATATTCAGACTACTATGTTTTGATTTTAGTTGGTCTTGTTCTATTTTTAGCAGGTTAGAAGGTCTGTAGATTTGACTGATGAATATAGTAGTTTCAAGAATGGTGTGCAATGAATTTACCGCCGCAATTTTGACTTTTATTTGGTGTTATTTGAGAATCACATTATTCCACTTTCAAGACAAATTTAACGTTAGCTCAAAGAGAATGTTATGCCTAAACTTAAATATAATAGATCTGATTGAATGTACTGTTATCAATCATAACAAAAACAAATCAAAACACAACTACTAAACATCACACAAATCAGTCATTAGAAATTGGAAAAAAGTTTAGGTTATGTAAACTAGATCAGTGTAATGATTTTGAGGCACTGGCTTTCCCAATAAGCAAATTAGCCTTTCAATTCAAGAACAGTGTGTTCTGCTCCATCCTTAAAATGCTGACATTACTAAACTCATAAACGATGCAACAGCAACAAAGCCTCCAAATTTGGAAGTCACAGTAGCTGCATTTGCTGTTGGTGGACTTGCAGTCTTGTTACTTGAAGACGAATCTGAAAATACATTTTCAGACTTATTAGAGGCCGTATAACTTATCTGATTGAAAGTAGCTGATAAGAATCAAGTGCGTGCTGAAGTAATAAACAGTCGGTGTATTTGGTAAAGGAAAGCGTTGAGAATACTTACTGTTAGAGGCTGAAGGAACAGATGGGGCTGAACCAGGTGAAGCAGTGGCTATAATGGAGATAAAACTCATGTTAACTAGTTGCCAGAAAAATTAATGGAAAAAAAATAGTGCAAAACAATGTTACTCATGATCAATGAACTTAGTGTCTACTATGCAATGAATAATTGTTTTAAGGATCAAATATCTCAAAGAAAAAGAATTACTTAAATAAAAATGAGATAGAATAATGACTAGCGGAAAGAGTACTGATACCCTCATATATTACTGGACATCGAATTAACAAGATCAGGCTGCAAAATCTATTTGAATAACAATGCATCATTCATCCATAGTGTTTTACAACATTATTAAAAACCACTCTCTCCATTATGTTCAAATTATATATATATTCTACAAAAGCATTCATCCAGTGCACAAAACATCCCGTATTCATGCAGTGTCTAGGGAAGGGCCGTACCCAAATGAGTGTGATGTAGACGGTCTACCATAATACAAGCATTAGTGGATGTTTCCACGGCTCGAAACCGTGACCTATAGGTACATAAAGACAATTTTATCGTCGCTCCAAGATTTCTTCCACGGCTCGAAAAAAGTCACATGGAGACAACTTTATCGTCGCTCCGAGATTCCGTCAACTATGACAGCATTCACTAAGGAAGAAAGAAGAAGAAAACATGCATCCATACAAAACTTGATTCAGAAAAAAGATGTTACGTACCATTTTTGCAAAGGGAAAGATCAGGTTTAGCACCACAAGCGTTTGCAAAACTCAAAGCTTCATCTTTTGTAACATTAAAACTCTTCATTAAATCAGCATTACCAAATACAGTACAAAGACACTGCGCATCACTCGTAATAATTTCCTTCAATGGCACACAACAAGTTGCTGGTGGATTTTTAGAATGTGATGTCAAAGCAGATTGACATGGCATCAATTTTTGAACACATGGCATATCAAAAATACCACCATTTTCACCATTATCAGCAAATAATGCTCCTAATAGATTTTTATCAAGTTCAATACCATGGGATAAACCCACAAAAACCCATGAAAAAATTACAATAAAAGAGGAAGGAATAATTGATTTGGAATAAGCCATGGGTTCTTTGATGATCTCAAATTCAGAAGGAAAATGCCTAATAATTGTTTTCTGTTATGAATTTGTGATGATGAAAAAGGAAGTGCATATATATAGGGGAAGGAATGTAACTGCTATTTTATTTAGGAACCGTATTTTCAGGCAGTTACAAAATCTTAATCATTCAATTCAAAAGTACTTTATTTGTATAATTACTTGTTAATTTTGAACCTATTCTTCGTTTAACCAAGTGTCTGGAATATTCCTTAATTTTCGTTATTAGTAGTGACCAAGTCATTATATTACTAAACTTATGTACCCAAAATTTAGCTAATTCTCGATTTGGACTAGCTATTTTTTGACTTCAATTTATTGGCTACGAAGGGTTTAGAACTTCCATTGCTCGCCGCATAATAAGGCGCGACCGGAATTTTTTTTTTTTTTTTTTTTTGTTAACTCAAATGAACCAGATTTATTACAATAATTATACCTTATTTTCAAACTAGTTAGAGTCGGCTATATGAATACTCGCTGCTTCATTAAAGCTCAATTCATGTCGGAACGAACCACATTTATTGATTATGGCAAAAGAATCATATAATTTTGGAGGATGGGAGACCCTGCCTTTTCATGCTGTAATCGAGTCTGGCATATTAAAATCTATAAATTTAAACTATTATTTCTTCCTATATTTAATGTGAAAAAATTATTCAAAGCATAAGAGACAAGTAAATAGAAAGTGTCGTTAGGGTTCATAGACGAAGGTGTTAGGCTTCTTATGTTGATTCTAAAGACTGGTAGTTGCCATCTATTCATGTTCATTGGTCATTTGACTTCTCTAGACAAGGTGTCCCACTAGGTGTGGCCGAACTAATTCAGATTCGCGTCGCGTAATGCTTATTAAAGAGGAAGACTTTCTTCCAAAAAAATAAATTCATTCCCAAGCTTAAATACAAAACCTCTGATCCATATTCCCACCACAACCTAGATGGTATGATGTTACCATCATCCGTCACAAAAGATGCAAGGAGCATCGAATCCGTTTCCCCAATGACAATTCCTTTATGGAATCTGTTTCCCCTTTAAGTAGTATCTCAACCCCTTTTTAAGTAACACAAATGCAATATCATGCATTTATTGATTTTGGTCTGTAAACCCAAGTATGGAAACTTTCTTTACTTGAAACACTCACCCAAAAAGGATGTTTCCCTACTACCTTGCAGCATTTGCTGATTTTTATACGCGTCCTTCCTCTCAATGGCAGTAAAAATACATTTAATAATTAAGGTTACATTGTCATTGTTCGAAAATAGCACAAAATATATCAATTTAAAATAGAAAGTAAAGCCTCAAAAAAGCCAAACCTACTTACGAGCAACATAGTAACAATAATCTAATTATGCATAGTTATGGCTTCAAGTTGGTAATGACATTGAAGCATGTTTCACGCGTCTTTCGCTTTTTTCTTCTCCTTATTAGAATGACTTAGCTTGGTCAAAAGGAAGATTAATATGAGGTTCAAATTACACTCTCATGTTGAAGATTCTTATCTCATTGTTGAAACAGAACATGGTTATTGAGGAAAATATCAGATAACCTTTCATACTCGCAAGGTATGATATACCAGGATCCAGAAAAGCACTATAAGCATGAGAAATGCTTACTAAAAGCATATAACAGAAGTTACCAAACAGAAAATAAACATGTAGTCATTGTATTTATTGCCAAAAGCAAACAATAGAGGTGCATGTTCTTTCATCTAACATTATTAAATTTGCACGTAAAAGACTGCCATCACCAAAAGAGTACACGTCAAGAGCTCCCATTAATCTGATGACATATATCTGTACAAGTCAGTACAACTACTACATGGTCGCTACTCCCGGAAAGATTAGATCAGCCATCGTTTTGCACAAGGATGAGGATAATAGATTAATCTACTCAGCTTATGGATATAAACCAGAGCTAGCAATTGTGACGAAAATCTGCAGCATTTATAACACAAACCACTTTTTCAAGAGAAATTGTTGTTGATAATCTCATATCAAGAAACTGTGTGGAAAAGGCAGTTATAAGCTAGAACGGAGCAAAACCAGATATTATCTGCCAAGGATAACTCGGTTTACAACATCAACAGGCAACGCATAAGCAGGATCTATAGGTTTCATTCCTGGATATTCAAGAAGTGAAAGCCCTGCATTACAGAAAAACCAAAGAATAAGTAGCACAATTGGGTCAGCAAAAGTCAATCTAGTCTCATGGACATCCCTAACTTTGCTTCTAGTTTTCATTACTTGACATAGTTTTATCACTTCAATAAACAGCATATTAGAAAGGCCAAGAGTTGAGCAAGGCCACTGGTGTAGGAATGTCTCTACAGTATGAAAAAGTTGTTCAAGGACAAAATTGGGAATGCAACAACTTACACCGGTGGACACAACACAGTTCAGATGATAGATCCTCCCAACAGTCCTGTGTGCCACTAGTTTTTTTTAAACATAAATCTGGACCTTCTAGAATCACCTTTGATGCAAAGGACGCATTGCAATCTCTTTCACAGAAAACACAACTTAAAACTAGATATCAGATACCAAACCTCTACCAGCTGGTTATGATTTATGAACATCCTTATTAGCTTGGATCTCATCTAGGTTTAGCATGCAGATGTAATCAGTAAAAAAGATCTATGACTCTATGTTATTGTGGATCAGCTTCAGGTCTTCTAAACAAAGACTTCTGAGATTACATCCCAAAACATGATGTGAACTTACTATACATTGAACGATGAACCATGGTATCATCAGAGAAAAATACACATTAAACATTTCACAATACGGCCCCTTACCAGCAACTCCAAAGTACGTATGGAAGACATCAACTGCATCATCTGGCCTATCTGAAATTCCACCATTCTCCTTATCCTACATCCGTGAAAGGAATAAAACTCATGCTTAACAAAAATGTCGGACAACTAAAACAAAAAATATAGTATCTAATCCCAAGCTTCAGTGGAAGGGAGTTGTTATATTGAGATGTAACCTGACAGTCCAGAATAAACTTTACAAGCTTCCCCTTGTCAATCCAATGGACCCTATCAATCATAATTAAGCTGGAAAGAACCCACCAAGAGTAGCAGACCTGAGAGGAAACAACATGAATAATAATATAATTCAAAAGTGATTTGTCAATTGAAATTTCAACGAGCAAGAGTGACAAACATCAGGAAGCTTCTCTGGGCGCCCATTTAGACCCCCAGATTTGACTTGTCTTTCACATAGCCACCAACCAAGGAGGTCCTAATCAACATGATGTAGAGACCCTGTAATTGCGAGAGCTGCCACGCAACAGAAAACTGCAATGGTAACATAGTCAAAATTGCGTTACAGTAATGCAGCAATAGGCAACTCAAAATGTTAAGAAGACTGCTGGAAATATGGAACTAAGTGGAATATAGAGGTTGAAAACCAATGAAGAGATGCTGCTTTTCGCTAATAGATATGCCATTACTGTCATAGCAAAGGAACATATTAATTCTGCAAAACCTGTTCCTTTCATGTGAGAGAAAGAAGAAATCAAAGAAAGGAAGGATTTTTCTCAGATTATGTCCATTAGCTGTTCATCAAACTAGGCCCCACAAACTGATCCATCCCCTCGTGACTATGTCAAAGCTGCTGACAACTTGGAGTACTACTCAACATCAGTACGGCATTATCTTTTAACTTATCATTTATCTTTTTGGTTCTTGCCAGGTAATCCCGGTTGCTGATGAGGGTGCTTCTTGTATTGGTTGGTGATAAAATGATGTCCAGATCATGAACTCAGGTTAAATTGATAGTCGGGCACTGATATTTTTTCTGATAGCACAGAAATCTTCGAGGACCAGTGGATAATAGGAAGTCCGGCTTTGATATCTTAGGAATTAATTAGAACAAACAGGGAATGGATCCCTTTAGTAGCAGTAAATTCAAATAAAAAGTCTGTTGCGGATGTTTTCCAACTCCGAAATCAATAGAGTTAGACTTTACAGTAGAATAGACGATCTCACTAGCTTTTCAGTTTAGAAGCCAATGTAAGTATGATATATTGCATGATTTCTACATGTGACATACTTTGCCCAGCATGAGATTCTGCTCCTGGTGTGCATCCAAATCCACCATCCACATTCTTGCAACTTAAAATATATTTCACTGCTTTTCCAACATCAACCTTATCTAACTGATGCATCAATGCGAGTGAAAGGATCGCAATGTAAGAGAACCTACACAAAGTATATTCAGGTCATTATATTTTCATTTCTCAAAAGAAGGATCATACATTCCCAAAAAAAAAAACACAAGTATCTAAAGAAATATGGCTTAAACCTTGGCCTTATAAGTAACTTTAAAAACTAGAAATCAAATAACGGATCCTAAATTTAAAACAGCAAAGAAAGTGAAGCTGCTACCGTGCATCGACTTCACCCCATATGTCACCAGAAAAGGATCCATCTTCATTTTGCAGGGCTGCAATATCTGGCTGAAAAGTTAAGCTCACCACAGCGACACCCAAATTTCTTAATAGTACACACTGCCAATGTCGAGAATGCCACCTTTTGTGATGAGTACTCTTTATGCTAGTTTGACCATGTTTTTTGTTTTGTGATGTTAAAATGGGAAAATGAGTAAATGCTAGCATTGCAGCAGAGTTCATAGATGTTATACATAGATCGAAAAGAAATGTACATGGAACCTCCAAATCAGTCGTAAATGTCAGAACACATGAAGTAGGATACAACTCGACACCTTATCAATGTCAAGAACATGTATTTTATCAAATAACGCCAAGACTTAAATAGCACTAAGTGTATAGAGTACGTGCGGATCATGTCCAATATTACCACCAAATCCACCTGCATATTATACAAATATAGAAGTGAACCTATACATACAGATCAAGTAGATCAGAACATGAAGTAACTCCCTCTCAAGGGAAAAGAAAAGACAAAAACAACATCCATTAAAAAAAGCAGTAGGCATAGTATAGCTGCAACATTGAAACACTGACAAAAATTCAATGCGAGAAAGAAAGAAAGAAGTGCAAGATACAAACCAGATTCGTGTTGGCACTGCATGACCCATGAAATAACTTCATCTTGCTCCACAGCAGCAAGCTTGCCCATGATATCCAGAGTTGTCAATCCCCAGTATGCCCCATTTAATCTTAGATGCTCCATCACCACAGATTCAAAATCATCTTTCCTCTGAAGGTATATAGGCACGTGTTAGAGAAAGCAAATGATAGAGTGACAAAAAAAGTGCTTTGGTGGGTTGGAAAAGAAAGGAACTCCAATCAGGTACTTAAATTCCATAAAGGATATGTACGAAGGAGTCATCTCACAGGCGTGAAAATAGTGGGAGGAGATATAAGGAGCATTTGCACAAAGTGAGATTCTTCCGTCTGATCAAAGATGAAACCAAAACAGTAGAAGTGCAATTCCAAATAATCTCATTCAAATAATTATAAATCATTGCATATCCCACATTTTCAGGTATCGAGGATGTCACTAACAGTAAGGAATAAATCTCAAGGATCAATCCCGCAGTCAATCATATCTGAAAGACTACAAAACCATCCCATCTACCAGAGCAAAACGAAAATTCCAGAGCCATTCCTTATGTTCAAACAACACCATGTATCACTTCTTTAAGGCTGGCTATGATACCCTTCCAAATATGAAAACCATAATTATGGAAGTTCAAAAAATACTTGTCTGAAGTACTCTAAACTGAATGATATTAGGATGCTCAAGAAGGATATATCGCACTTTAGCAAGTAGAGCAGAATTGGTATCATGAGAAGTACTAATGCCTGTGCCCCATTCTGTTTCTCCTTCACAACTCTGTTCCAACCATCCGGTGTGCTTTCCTGGCTTCAAGAGTATCTCCCTACAAGATACTATTCAACTTGTTGAAAGTATCAAACACATTTTAGGAGCCTAGTTATTTGCTTTGAGTACACAGGTATCTGAGTGACAGGTTGGATTAGGGTGGCGCAAGCTCAGATTTCTAGATATCAAACCAGCGAGTCTATTGGACGAAAAGTAACATTGGACGAAAGGCAGAGGAAAATCAGTAGATATGAAACAAGATGAGTACCTTCTCAACTGCTAAAATGTACTTTACATGTTTTTCTACCATCAGCTCCCCCATCCTGCAGTAATCATGGCTCAGAATTCAGATAATCAAAATAGGCCAAAGTGGAGGATAAAAAATGTGATTCTATTAATACAAGGTCCTGCTTTTGTTTTATATCCTATTTTCAAACTTGTAACACAGCCCTGCAAGAGGGCCATAGCCAGGATCAATTAAAACTAGCCTGCTCAGCGAGAAATAGCGTGAATCAATATGTTTAAGCTGTTTAATGAAACAATTTATTTCATCTTTAAGCAACAGAACAAAAATTTTTGTGACGACAGTGTCCATCGATCCATTAGATACCTAGTTTCTCAATTTATCACACGTTTAAGCTGAAAAGAGTTCACTAACATTTCTCGTTTTTGTGTTCGGTCTTTCTTTTTCACTAATAAACTACTGGAGCTTGTGAATTAGTGAAAGGAAGTTATTAATTTTCTGAGTCAATGTCAGTTGCATGAGCTAATTGTAGTTTCAGAAATTTCAATATACAGTTCAACGAATTCATGGCTGAGGGGAATCCATGCAAACAATTATATTCCAAGCACATCCAACAACCAAAAAAAAAAATGCACGCTTCTTAAAAACAATAGCCAAAGAAGAACAGGGGAAAACAGAGCCGAAACCATACACACACACACACACTGCATCAAAAATGTTGAAAAGGGTAGGAGAGAATAGATAATACACAATCCCTTGCTATATAAAGTGCTAATAACTCAAAACAATAAATAACATCAACAATATTGGTTACCCAAAATCAGAAATTTCTTGGGAAGTGCGATTCAATGTTAAGGCTTTTTCCTCTGACAAAATGCGCACGAATCATGGGAAGGAATTTGATGATAAATTCAGTCAAAATCAGCGGACATTGGATCTTTTCTGATCGGGGAAAGGGCCCTTCTATATGATGTGTACGGTTCAGTGTATGAGATAAGTCGCATAGTTTTATATGCGATGTCTTTGCGATGTCTTTGTTTTCGTTAAATCTCAAAATTCAATAGTTGGTAGTAATGATAATGTTTACATGTATAGATGTATTAAATATCATATTTTGACAATCTTATAATTCAATGTGAACGGCACTGGCACATGGGTTAGTACATCGTAAGGGTCGGGGGAGCCCCGATAAATAGAGCTTTTCGTGCGTACTTCGAAAGGGAGTCGGGTTAAAATTCCTGAACTGGGACGTGGTGGTTGATGGCAATAGGAAGTCCGGAGATGTCGGCGGGGGCCACGGGAAGAGTTATCTTTTCTGTTTGACAGCTTGCCCACCCTAGAAACGACTTAGTCGGAGGTAGGGTCCAGCGGCTGGAAGAGCACCACACGTCGCGTGGTGTCCGGTGAGCTCCCGGCGGCCCTTTGACGAACGCAAAACACAACACAAAAATTATTGCTAACTAATCAAAGATAGTATAGTTTCGTCTCCACATGGATTGGATTTAAACAATACTCTAGTTATTCCTAGTTTAACTGCTATTCAGGAGGATCAAAACTTGATTTGGGATGACTATGAACTACGATTAACTACTAAAGTAAAGCAATTGATGATTGAATGCAACAAACTAGAGATTAGCAAGGTCGGTTTCTTATAATGTGAGAAATAAGGGTCTTGACAGGATAGGTGCAAAATAGCTATTTGGGATCCAACTCTAGTTTAATTCACTCTAATGTTCTAATGATTCTCAAAAATTCACTCGATGATTAGTTCAAATGTGTAGTCAAGACTCCTCTCTCGATTAAATCTTAACTCTATGAGGTGAACTAAAATAAGTACTGTGAAAATATGCAAGCATGCGTTAATGGATTATTCTTCAGGAAAACGTCTCTCGAATATTCTCCTAACTTGATTTAGTCAACAATTCAACAAGCTCTTTCGATTAGTTAGGAGAATCACTGAATTAAATCAAACAAAATAATGCAAAGATAATCACCAACGTATTCCTCTTTTAATTAAATAAATCGGTGAATAAAGGTTCAACAATTCAAAGCTCCATAAACAAATTCAAGCAAAGAACTAGAGTTAAAATCCACAATATTTATCAAAACACCATATCCGTCAAACCCTAAAGGAAACTACTCCATAATCATGGAGAAAGTCATCACAAATATAATTAAAGAGTAAGAAAACATCAATATAACGTTACAATCCAAACTCCCATATTGAATTATTGGAGAAATGATGAAATCTTATGTCTTGTAGCTCCAATACTCTCCCCAATGCTTCCAAGGTCAAAAGTCCCTTCAAAAATATCTTTTTGGTGTGTTTATACCATTTAGGAGTAGGCCCAGGCGAAACTACTCTTTCCAAGCCGAACGGGAAAATACTCTGAGGAATTTGTACAGGCGCGCCGCGCCATGCGGGGCATTAGTGGGAAAATTCATAGAGCGAGTTTCTGACAAGCAGCAGAATTTTTCACTGTCACGCCCCCATGCTCCGGCCCATGCGGCCCGTCAGTGTGTTTTTTACAGAGCATTTTGTTTTCTTCAATTTTTGACATCCAGACTTGGCTCCCGATCCCCGAACGCGATACCGGTTTAATTCTTTGGGCTTTTACTCAAACTTAAAGCTCAACATTGTTCGATTTAGTCCCAAGTTATCTTTTTAACTCGGAATCACTTCCTGCAAGGCATTAACACACAATAAGTGCAATTCACTATCATTTAAGCTCAAACACAAGTAAAATGCAGTAATTAGAGTGCAAACTATGACAAAAATACGGAATTCTAGCCTACCATCACCCTTGAAAATCCGGAGGACCGAGTGTCATCCACGCCCGGTCGCACTCATAACCGCATCAAGTCTCCAAGGTGAACAACCTCTGCTCGATGGAACAATGTAGGCAAGAGAAGTCGGTAAAATGGATTCGTAACTTCGGGAAAAAGATTGGCTCTGAGGGGGGTCCCAATCCCGAACCCGTTGGTTGTCGGTGGACTGCTCGAGATGCTCCCGCGGCGAGAGCCGGTCACTGCGTGCCGTCCGGTGGATGGACTAGGAACGGTTCCTTCGGGGGCCTGCCCTGGGCGTCGAACTGTCAACTCAAAACTGGTACGGACAGGGAAAATTCGACTGTTTAATTAAAACAAAGCATTGCGATGGTCCCTGCGGATGTTACGCAATATGATTTTTGCCCAGTGCTCTGAATGTCAAAGTGAAGAAATTCAGCCAAGCGCGGGTAAACGGCGGGAGTAACTTTTACTCGCTTAAGGTAGCCAAATGCCTCGCCATCTAATTAGTGATGCGCATGAATGGATTAATGAGATTCTCATGGTCCTTGTCTGCTATCCAGCGAAACCACAGCCAAGGGAACGGGCTTGGCAGAATCAGAGGGGAAAGAAGACCCTATTGAGCTTGACTATAGTCCGACTTTGTGAAATGACTTGAGAGGTGTAGTATAAGTGGGAGCCGAAAGGCGAAAGTAAAATACCACTATTTTTAACGTTATTTTACTTATTCCGTGAATAGGAAGCGATACACTGCCCCTCTTTTTCGACCCAAGGCTTGCTTGCAGGCCAATCCGAACGAAAGACATTGTTAGGTGGGTAGTTTGGCTGGGGCGGCACATCTGTTAAAAAGATAGCTTTTGTGATGACCCAAAAGGTCATCACTTGCTCTTAAATTAAATCCTGTATTTTTGAGGCCTTGAAAACCTCATTTAGAGTCACCTCGATCTGCGTACACAGTCCGGGCGCGTAGCCGGAAAGCTTAAATATGAAAATCTGTGAAAATGATAAAAATTTGGCTAATAAATGAATTAATTTGACTTCGGTCAACGTTTTGGGTAAACGGACCCGACCCGTGATTTGACGGTCTCGGAGGGTCCGTAGGAAAATACGGGACTTGTGCGTATGCCCGGAATCGAATTCCGAGGTCCCAAGCCCGAGAAATGAATTTTTAAAGGAAATTGTTTTCTGAAATTGTTTAAGGAAATTTGAAATGAAATTTGTTTAGAACATGGTGGTATCGGGCCCGTATTTTGGTTCCGGCGTCTGGTACAGGTCTTATATATGATTTAAGTCATTTCTGTAAAATTTGGTGAAAAACGGATGTCGTTTGACATGATTCGGACCTAAATTGCTAAAGTTGATGTTTTATGAAGTTTGAGAAAAATCCATTGATTTTGAGGTTTAATTCGTGGTTATTGAGGTTATTTTAGCGATTTGATCGCACGGATAAGTTCGTATGATGTTGTTGAGTTAGTACGTGTGTTTGGTTAGGAGCCCTGAGGGCTCGGGTGTGTTTCGGGAAGTTTTGGACTTAAGAAAAATTGCAGAAACAGCTGATCTGGTATACTGATGCTTTCTTCTTCGCGTTCATGGGAGAACCCACGCGAACGCGATGCATTAATTTTTATTGAAGGAAAATCCTTCTACGCGAACGCGTAACTCAGGTCGCGAACACGAGGCAGTGGGGGGGGGGGGGGGGGGGGGTTATCCCTTCGCGAACGCGGTCCTGGCCACGCAAACGCGAAGGCCAAGTGGGCCTGGGCAGGGGGTGGGACAATTACCCTACGCGAACGCGACATCTTGAACGCGAACGCGAGGCTCGAGGAGTTTCTACTCCGCGAACGCGAGCCGTTGTCCGCGTACGCGAAGGCTTATCCAGCCTAACCCATCGCGAACGCGAAGGGTGTGTCGTGAACGCGAAGAACGTTTTTGCCCAGTGATTTTTAAAAGACCAAAACAAAACACTTACGGGATTTTTATAAAATTTCACAAACCTCTTCTTCTCCAAAGCTCTTAGGCGATTTTTAAAGCATTTCCTCACCCTAATCTCTTGGGTAAGTAATTTTTAACTTGTTATCTTCCATTTTTATCAACACCCACTAGATTTCTAGGCCTAAAACATGTGATTAAGGGTAGAAAATTAGGGATTTGGGTAGAATTATGGCTTTTTGAATAATTGCGATTTAGACCTCGTTTTGGGATCAAATTCTGGAACTAATTATATATTTTGGCTCGTGGGTGAATGGGGGATCGAATTTAGGTTCGAACTTCGTGTTTTGACCAAGCGGGCCCGGGGTCGATTTTTGGGTTTTTGGGAAGAATGATTAAAAAGTTATAATTGAGCATTGAAATTGGATTGTTTAGCATTTATTGATGTTATCAAGTCGATTATGTATAGATACGAATGTGTTGGAGCCAAATTCGAAAGGAAAGGCGGTATTTGAGGATTGAGTTGGCCGTGGAAGTTTGAGGTAAGTGTCCGGTCTAACCTTAGCTTGAGGGATTAGGAGTTGTGTCCTATTTGCTAATTGCTTCTTGTTGAGTACGACGTATAGGCATGGTGACGAGTATCTATACGTTGGTGTCGAGCATGACCGTGAGTCTTATATTGTGATTTCCATGATATCGTTGTGTAATTCATGCCTTGGTGAAAATTTCTATTTATTGTGTAAAGTTGTGAAAAGAATGGTGACCTATGAACATTGAGGAGCGTTGGCTCCAGTTGTATAACGAATTGTGGTAGTATAAGTGATAATTGAACCTCTAGAGCAGTGGCTCGAGTTGTGAAGGGAATTGTGAAGTAAAAGTGAGAAAGAGAAGAGATCATTATGTTGCCCCCTTGCCGGGCTGTTGTTGAGTTGTGGGTCACTTGCATTGTGTTCTTGATTGATATTACGGATACTTAGGTTGATGATTCTTTGTGTTAGGTAAGGATTATGGTTATAGCTGAGAAAGTTAGACGTTGGAACAAGTCGGGGTGTGGCCGAGGTAGTTAGGTGTTGTAACAATTCTAGTTATAGCTGAGGTAGTTAGGTGTTGTAACAAGTTTAGTCATAGCCGAGGTAGTTAGATGTTGGAACAAGTATGGATATAGCTGAGTAGGAGTTGAGTTAGGATTGGTTATAGCTGATTCTCCCTTGCCGGGATGTTTGTCTTGATATTGTTGTTCCCTTATCGGGGAGTTATTATGTTGCTTTCGTTCCCTTGCCGGGATCCTTGTGATTTTGTGCTGGCTTGTAAATGGGAGCGGGTGGTACGCCTACCACGA